CTGAACTTCAGGTAAGAAGTTATGACCTGCAGTCTATCTGGGTCAGATATAAACCAAGTTCAGGTGGAGTTTATTTTTGTTGTGCTGACTTTTTACCGTCAGTTACAATAACTTGTACTGCGTACTAGCTAGCATGACGGAGTTTCTATACAGCTGTGTGAGTGCTATGATGTTACTGATAGTGAACTTTATTTTATTCATAAGGCTAATTATTAGAGTTGCCGACTGTCCTGTAAAAAACGGAATCGTCTGGTATTCAGAGAAAATATTACGTGTTTCATATTGAGCTGAAAAGGAACACAGTTTGTCCCGGACTTCAGCTACAATGAAAACGACACAAAGCTGGAGTTTTTCTGCATCTTTAAGCCGCACATCTGCCTCTTCTTCTCTCATTCTCTCCCTCTCCTGTTGCTACTTCAATCATGAAACTGATCAATGATCAGCTGATCAGCTTTTCTCTCTTGTTTGTTTATCGCCAACTTTGCGCCAGAAAGAGGAAACCAGCGGATGTCGCGCTAAACAACAGCAGCACGTTTAAGCTTGATCAGCTGTTGTTAGAATTTATTTAATATTCATTTCTAGTATCAGCTGATGTTTGCTGGAGCCACAGCTGTAAAAGCTGCTGGTCATGAGGTTTGTATATCTGGTGAGAGGGAAACATGAAGATGAAACCAGGAGATGTCCTTACTGGATCATCAGAGCTGAACAGGTGATGGAGAAACAGGTTTACCTTTTAGTTAACATGAATGAGTTGAAGGGAAGTTATGAACTGTTTCTGAGAGACAAATAACACCAGGATCCCTTTTTATGTAGCTGACAGCTGGTACCTGTGCAGGGGCGGGTCTAGCAAAATGTTGCCAGGGGTCCATGTAGGGCATTAACAGGGAGAGGGGGGCACAAAGAAATACTTTCTTATTCTCATTTAAAATGTCTGGTTTTTATTAAATAATTATCTGAAGCTTACAATCAAAGTTTTTATCTGACGTACAATGTATAAAAATCATACATATACCGACAAGACTGTACATCACTGTCACAACAGCATTTGTTTTCATTCAAAGGCTTTATGGCTTTAATACCTGGTGGGCCGGTCTCTAGTCAAAATGCCCGGGCTGATTTTTTTGTCCCAGTTCAGCCCTGGGCACGACAATCTGAGAAGGTGCATTAAAAAATACATGGCCGCAAATGAGCAAATTCGCTCGCATACACATTAGTTGTGCCGCGACTTAATGACGGTATCTTAGCTAACAACCCCAACTGCCAGATTCAACTTGTAATTGGCTAAAAATCACTTCGCCTATCGGTGAGAAGGACGTTGTTAGCTTTCTACATTCCAACACTTCAGGAGCTTTCCGCTCAGCACAGCATCAGCACCACAGAAATGCACAGATACATTCGTAGACTCGAGACAGAATTCACAATGCGTTTTCAGGACTTTCAGGTGTATGGACCAATGTTTCTTTTCTGATCAAACCAGAAAGCTTTAATGAACAGCTAGATTTGTCTCGCATTAACTGGCTGAGTTAATGCCAGTTAATGCAACATTGAAGCAGCTGGAATCCACAGCTGTGCGTGTTCATGGAGCTGCATTTTCACCTGCTGGACATCACTACCTGACAAGTTTAACTGTCTTCAGAACATTGCAGATGCCTTATTGACAGTATCTCATGTTGTGACAGCCCTGTGGTCTCTCAAACTCTACGTGTACTTTTCTACTGAATTTGAGCAAGTTTTTATTTTGTTACTGTATCTGTTTATCATCTGTATCCTTAATATTAACCCCAAGAATCTTGTCGAAACTAAGGAACCATCATTTGAAGGTGAATAATAAGCAGATAAACTATCAGACTTTGTGGGAACGGGCTTTTCCTGAGGAGAGGAAGGTTTTCCACATTGCCCTGTGAACACTTTCACCATTTTATACGCTTTAAATATGGTAGAAATTGTTTACTTTGCTTTTAAAAAAAACCCCAACATCATTTCTGGTTAGAAATGCACGTGTGTCATTAGAAAAAGAATACTGGCTGATTTCCCCAGGCTAGCACTCTCACTGCTGAAGGAAAATTTCATCTCAGATGCTCTCAAAAGATGGAAGTCCCCCATCCCACCCGCACATGCAGGTATTTAAAGCTCCAGCTGCCATGTTTAGGTGCCTGTTACATAACTGGCGGGATTTCAAATGTAATTCTGGTGTTGAAGAGGGACTGCTAGCGTAAATGTTTGATGAACAACGAGGCACTCTGTTTTGACCACCCAGACGTTTGCAAGGCTGCCTGTGCAGGAAAGGGCTTTTTAAAGAGTCCCCCCTCTCTCTGAGGGGCAGGTGGAAGCCCTCGGGTGTGTATGACTCATAGGGAGGTTACCGTATCCATAGAAGTGTGTGTATGTCTGCCT